ATGAACACTCTCAAGCTTCCAGGTAGGCTCTCGTTGCTCATGACTAAGGTCTAGGGTTACTCTAACTGACGCCGTTCTCTACTGTTAGATGCTACTCCCTCAGACCGGAATATCCATGGGTTTGCTCTCATCAATTCGGTGGTTCAATTTTTAGAAGAAGCATGTGCTAGATCACCAAGCTTCCAGGATTTCACTGCACAATCGACTTACGTGCAGGAGCTACTTTCTGTGGTCTATCCCGTTGTTGTCGGTGCTGATACCGTCAGCCCCAGCGAAGAATTAAATTTCCGACAGACCGGACTCAGCTTCGATGACAGCAATCTAGTACTACGACCGCGCTCTAGTACTAATAATGCATTGACCGCTTTACAGACAATCATGGTTGACTCCTTAGGTAGTCCAGATGAAAGCACTGGTTCTTTGAAACGTGGGTCATCCTTTATTTTGGTCTCGCCTGATAAAACCAAGTACCAGCCCTCTTCTGCACGGATACGGCGGCTGATGAACCCAACCTTTGTTGGAACTAAAGCTGCCACTGATAATCCCATTGTCAAGGCAGTCTTGGGGCTTGTTCTGGCCGTCTTCGAGGATCAGCTTTTAGGACGCAAAGACTTCTCGGGTTTTGGTCTCTACCTGAAAACCCCGCCCGGCTTCCTGGAACACCAGGCGTACTTCAATTCTTGGGTTCTTTCCTGTGTGCTTTCGGCATTGCAAGATCTTCCTCTGGTCCGACCCGGTCTGCTTCATGAAACCCGGACACTTACGAACCTCGGGCGCTTCGCGACACATTTGACGGAGGCAGTATACGAAGGCTGGTTCATCAACGGCGCATCATCCACACTTGAATTCATTGGTCCAATTTTGGAGTATCTCCAGCGCCCGGACGTATCTCAGTTGAAAAGCATTCGTTTATGTAGCCAGGCTACCGCAACGATTCGCTCGACTCTGTACAGAGTTATCTTATTTCAGTTGTCAGAGGCAGATGACACCGAAACCGTGACATTGCTAAACCGATTGAACTACTGGCAGGTGGTCCTTCTTTCGGCGGCTGAAACCCAATCAAAACATTTACACCTGCTATGCTACCTGCTGTACACCAAACTAATCAGCACAAATGGTGATGTCCGCTCAGCCGCTACTCGCTTATGGAGAATCATATTGGTGCAGGCGCCGGATGGAATAACAACACTCCTCAGCTATGGCTCTGTCTCCCTCCAGCGTCGGTTGGCTGACGGCTTCGACGCTCTTTCTGGAATGGACGACGAAGCTTTCTTGCTATGGATCGATGACCAGCGCGACGATCTGGATGCCTTGTTCTTCGGTGTATTTTCTCGATCGTGGGACACCTTCATTCAAGAAGAGAATACAAGCACCGAGGAGTCTGTTAGGTCCCGGGTATCGAAGCGTAAAGACAAACTCAGACAATGGGCTCAGATCGAAAAATTCGATGAAGACATGACGCGAAAGCACGAAGCTACTTTGCCACATTGGACCTCGAATATCGCGGCATCCGAGTTCTTGAAGTCTCAACGATTCTTGCAAGATCTTCAGGATAGCTCTAATTTCATGTGGTCAGCTTTCGCCGACTTACTGCTTGACTTGCGACGACCGGGCGGCCTTCTTGCAGTAGACAAGGAGAGGAGATGGTGGCTAGACCAGACCGAAGGTCGCAGCCGTATGCGACTACGCCTGGTTCCAAATGAGTCGGGTGAACGACAGGACTATCAGCCTAAGCGTAAAGCCTCCGAGCCTCCAGCAATCAAAATTGACACCCGAATACGTGCACTCTCGGAGGGTGAGACTCTGACGGCACCTCATCCTCTCACAGGGGAACAGGAGAATCCGGAAGGCGAGTCGCCGAACGACGATACCGACAACCGGAGCCTCATGGAGGATAATTTCGAGATGATTGACGATCCTAAAATCGAGCTCGAAGACTATGAAGATAGAAACCGGAAGGTGATGCGATCTCTTCAACGTGGTGATCAGGTTCAAAGCGTGTGCAACCTGTCTCGAATCATTGGTCTAGAAGCAGTGGAAGGTATCTCAATTCTCGGCAAGGACTGCATCTATATCCTCGACAATTTCTTCCAGAGAGCAGATGGCGAGATTGTGAACGTCTGGCAAGCCCCCAATGAGGAACGAGATCCTTATGTGCGCATGATTTCTGGTCGCGAATCAAATGATCACCGCTCGCAGGAGCATCACACCAGGAGCTGGAAATGGTCTGATTTGGTCAGCGTTTCCAAGCGTCGCTTCCTCTTCCGCGATGTTGCTCTTGAGATATTCTTTACCGATGGCACCAGCTACTTGTTGACATTGCTCTCGGCACGAGCTCGAGACGATCTGTGCAATCAACTGGCTATCAAGGCGCCACAGGTCACGGGAAGCACCGGACACTCGCGACCGGAAGACGTCTGGCGATTTGAAACCCTTCGCAGTCAAGATGATGCACCACAGACCCTCGGGTCTAAATTTGCTAGTGTTTTTGGTCACCTTCCGGCAAACCCAGCAACACGAAAATGGGTCAAGGGTGAAATTTCCAACTTCCATTATCTGATGTTGATCAACACCTTCGCTGGGCGTACGTTCAACGACTTGACTCAATACCCCGTTTTCCCATGGGTTTTGGCAGATTATACAAGCGAAGAACTTGATCTTACCAACCCGGCCACCTTCCGGGATCTGTCCAAGCCTATGGGTTGCCAGACTCTAGACCGAGAAATGGGCTTCCGTGAGCGATACAATGCGTTTGCTGAAATGGGCGACGATGACTCTCCACCTTTCCATTATGGAACACATTACTCTTCTGCTATGATTGTCAGCTCGTACCTCATTCGGCTGCAACCATTTGTCAAGTCATATCTTTTACTCCAGGGCGGCTCCTTCGATCATGCCGATCGCCTGTTCTATTCAATTCGCAAGGCATGGGAGTCAGCATCGCGAGGGAACATGACCGACGTTCGAGAACTTACCCCTGAGTTCTTCTATCTCCCGGAATTCCTGGTGAACTCCAATCATTATGACTTTGGTCTTCTTCAAAACATGACCACGGCCATTGACTCGGTTGAACTGCCACCTTGGGCAAAGGGCGATCCCAAGATCTTCATCGCTAAGCACCGGGAGGCACTTGAGAGTCCCTATGTTTCCGAGAACCTCCATCACTGGATTGATCTTGTTTTCGGCAGCAAACAAAAGGGCGAGGCAGCTGTCGAGTCTGTCAACGTCTTCCACCATCTCTCATACAAAGGTGCTAAAGACTTAGATGCTATTGATGACCCAATGGAACGGTTAGCCACCATCGGCATTATTCACAACTTCGGGCAAACTCCTCACCAAATCTTCCACCGACCTCACCCCCAGAGGGAAGATCAACGGCACCGCATACCGCGGCTGGACACTCTTGCAGAATCTCTAACACAGATGCCTTTGTCTCTTCTTGATATTGAAGAACGAGTAACCACCCTATCCATGAAACAAGACCGTTTGTTGTGCACGGCGCCCCTGAGGCTCAACGTGCCGCCGGCCTATGATTACTATATGGAATGGGGTTTCTTCGATGGTAGTGTTCGTTTCTACGCTGCCGATATTCGCAAGCTCCTGGGTCACTTTGAGCACCTTCATGTTGGTCAATTGTCTCATGCTAGCTTTGCGGATTCCCGCACCCTGGTCACCTGCGGTACGGACTGCACCATCTCATTATGGACGGTCACTACAACCTCCAAATCTGTTGATTTGCAGCCCATTGGGTCGCTCTTTGGCCATCGGGCCCCCGTCACTGTCCTCGCTGTTTCACGCTCCTTCAGTGCTTTGTTGTCTGCCTCCAATGATGGACAGGTTATGCTATGGGATCTTAATCGACGATCCTTCGTCCGAGCCCTTCCCGGCGACGGTGCGGTCGATGTATGTTTCCTTCTTCCTACCACCTGCTATCCTTTACTGACAAATTAGTGTGCTCGAATCAACGATGTCTCTGGAGACATTATGGTTTGTCGCGGTAATCGCTTGACATTATATACCCTCAACGGCATATTGTTGGTTGACCAACCAGTCTGCGAGTCGGGCGACGACCACGTCTTGTCCTGCGTCTTCTACGAGGGGGTGCAGAACGAATGGCTGGAACGTGAATTGGTGTTAACAGGCCATACCCATGGTGTAGTCAACATTTGGAGCAAGACCATCCGCGGTGGCCACTTTGAGTTGGAGCTGATCCGACAGCTGCATCATACCGACAGCTGCCGCGATAATGGTGCCAACATCAACGCCGGCATCAGTTGTATTTTGGCTCTCCCCCACGTGGTCTATACGGGGGATGAAGCCGGCCGAGTGGTGAGTTATATTTTTCCGGTTCATGTTCATTAACGAAGCTAACATGATGGTAGTATGAATGGAACTGCATCCAGCGCCGCTAGTTTTCTCGGTTATTCAAATACTCGTCTTCCAAACGATTGGGTCTGTTGTACTTTACACAATTTTTCACAATACACAATCATTTCTTCCATTCATTACCTTATCTTGGTCTAGCAGGACATGCTACCAATTTGTTACGGAAAAAGCTCAGTGGTGGTAAAGATGATCTTTATTTATGCTATGCTACGTAAGAGGTAAGTACCCAGAGCTTATGTAAGCTATAGTCCGTCACAAGTCCGGTGATCACCTGACCCCCATATATAACAATATGCCCCCGAAAGATCTCACGATACATTCCCAGGTAGCACGGTCTTGGTTAAGCTCATCGGGCAACATGTCTCCGACGTCTCTGGTATTGCGGGCGATATCCGGGGGGCGGGCGCCATCGGAGATTGCTGCTGTGGCAGAGCTTATTCCGCAACGCGTACACCTTGATTGCCGACCTTGCCATAGGCTCGTCGATTCGAATCTCCTCCCTGTTGTTGAGTAGATCAATGCTTGAGTAAATAACATGAGGGCGAGCTTCCTTAGCAGAAGAAACGCCTGCACCAGTAGCATGGCTTTGAGCACTGTCATCTCCACGGCTTTCTCTATTGCTCCTTTCTCTTCCCTCTCTTCGCTGCTGCTTCTCCATGATTCTTTCCGCTTCTCGGGGTGGATATTTCACGGGCATAGTCCCTTTCCGCCGTCTCAATGTCTTCAATGAAGTCAATCGGGTCTTTGAAGCCGTCCTGAAGACCCTGGAAGGCCTTATCACGGAAAGAAGTAGACATTTCTCGCTTCTCGTCACCTGCCTTCGTCTGTTCGAGTCCTCAGTGAAGAATATATCAAGTCCTTTGGCTGCGTAAAGAATGATTGGACATGCGCACAGTGATATGCTAGATAAAGACGCAATCACTCCGTTAGTAGGTATTCAACGACAGGACTCGAACATTTACCTATGCTCTAACATTGAGGCCTTGGAGGTCAGAGGGACGATCTGGACCGGAGCGTTGGTAAGGCCACCCGGTAGTGGAACCGTCATTTGCATAAACCCAGGGAACGGAACTTGCAGATAGTTTTCTTTCCCTTCCTCTCCTGTACTTAGTATTCTGACGAAAAATGCACTCATTCATCTGAAGATCTGGCATGTAGCAGAAGCCACTACCGGGGGCGGCCGCAGCAGCAGCGTGATGCTCAGTAGCGTCAACAGCCTATTTGATGCACACGTTAGAAATAATATTCAATCATGCAGTCCCGAGAGAAGACTGCTTTTTGTAGGGTGGAAACAGCAGGCAACTTCTTACCTTCTTGATGGCATTTTGGGCCGCGGCCCAGAGGTTCTCAACCTCTTCATGGGAGGGAGGGGGCCCCTTCGCCTTGGATTCGGCGGCCTATATCATATGTTAGTAATGCTCAGTCAACTCTAAGGCTTGTTGATCGCTCTCTTACCCGGTGGGCCAGCCGCTTCTTCTCCTTGACTGAGATAGTAAGAGAGAGAGAAAGAAGAATCAAGTGCAAAGTGGGAGAGGGCCTGCTTATATAGTCGGCCGATTCCATATGTTAGCAATGCTCGGTCAACTCCAGGACTTCTTGATGGTTCTCTTACCCGGTGAGCCAGCTACTTCTTCTCGTTAACTGAGATAGTAAGAGATAGTAAGAGAGAGAGAAAGAAGAATCAAGTGCAAAGTAAGAGACGGCCTGCTTATATAGCTGGCCGCTCTAATGACAAACAAGACGAACAGCAAACATCGCGATCCGTACAATGGGATCAATGACTAGGTCATGATATAGACCATAAATGTTGAACAGACATAGTGAGTAGAAGCTCTGTTCTTGCCTAACCACTCTCTCTCGAAGGACAGTTTGTAGCTTCTCTTCTAGGGACAACTGCCAATAGTCGCTCGGCTAATACAAGGTCTTCTTCTGTGTCCTTTATACTACAGCCTTGTTGTTGAGGGTGACTCGCTATCCCATGAATATTGGGTGAGCACAAGTTGCACTTGGCTGGGACGCATAACCCTACTTTGATCATAAACACACAAGTAAAACTAGTGGCCACTGGCGGTCGAGTATGGACTACAGCACCGCACCAGGACTGGAAGGCTATTCGATTGATCCAATGACACGGAAGACATGGAAGACAATGTAGAAAACCCTCTTGAACAAGACATACTATACTCCGTAGGCCTAGGGAAAATGATACATACATGTTACTACTCCGTATAGGTACTTCCAATTGAAAGTTTCAAGCAACCTTTATTCGGAAATCCTTAGGGTCCATAGTTAAGCTGTTCGGAAATCATATTTCTCCACAACCACTCCGTAGCCGTCGACATGTATTTAGCCGGGGCCCCGGTGACCGGTGAGCATTGCAAAGACCGCTGCAGTTGTGGGCCGTTGTCCGGTCTACCATCCTCCGGTTGGGGGAAGACGGAGCACTCTGCGCCGGATTTGGGATTGTAGCACACCTATTCAAGCCGTTCAAGCAGAGGAAATATTGAAAACAAATCGAGGAGTATTCATAGAAATACGGCAGCTATTTTAGAACGAAGAATCAAGAATCCAAGGGGAAATGGCAAATAAAACAAGAAAAGAAGTCGGATGTTGTCGAGGGGAGCTGTCTGATTTCATCGTGCAGCGTCATTTGCCCCGCCTGAAAATGGGGCACAGGCAAGGTACTTGTTTTTAGTATGGCGTCCCCATACTAAACGCAAGTACCCGGCAATTGATCTGGGTCTGGTCAATGACACCACCCCTCCTTCTTAAACACCGCGCCGTCCGCCACTCTTCTTCTCTCTTCATACTTTCTCCATTTCACTTTCAAAACATCAAAAAATGTCTTCCTCTCTTGAACAGCTCAAGGCTACTGGCACCATTGTCGTTTGCGACTCTGGTAAGCTCTCAATCTTATTATTTGGGTTGCATTGAAAACACGCTAACACTAAATATTTAGGTGACTTCGCCAGTATGTATTCCAGATTTTGCTTGATGATATGGGTTCCAGCATTGGACAGCTAGCTAACTTCAACCACAGCTATTGGCAAGTACAAGCCCCAGGATGCCACCACCAACCCCTCTTTGATTCTGGCTGCTTCCAAGAAGCCCGAGTATGCCACTCTCATCGACACTGCCATTGCATATGGCAAGAAGAACGGAAAGACCCTCGATGAGCAGGTTGAGGCCACCCTCGACCGTCTCCTCGTGCAATTCGGAAAGGAGATTCTTCAGATCATTCCCGGCAAGGTCTCCACCGAGGTTGACGCCAAGCTGTCCTTCGATACCCAGGCTTCCGTCAACAAGGCTCTTGAGATCATCAAGGTACGTGCACAAGTTCATGCGAAATGACTTCCGGCAATTCCGAGCTGACTCTTGCTACTCAGCTGTACGCCGACAACGGTATCTCCAAGGACCGTGTCCTGATCAAGATTGCCTCCACCTACGAGGGCATCAAGGCCGCTCACATCCTCCAGTCCCAGCACGGCATCAACTGCAACCTGACCCTCATGTTCTCTCTGGTTCAGGCCATTGCCGGTGCTGAGGCCGGTGCCTACCTCATCTCTCCCTTCGTTGGTCGCATTCTTGACTGGTTCAAGGCTGCCCACAAGCGCGACTACACCCCCCAGGAGGACCCCGGTGTCAAGTCCGTCCAGGACATCTACAACTACTACAAGAAGTTCGGCTACAAGACCATTGTCATGGGTGCCTCTTTCCGTAACACCGGCGAGATCACCGAGCTGGCTGGTTGTGACTACCTGACCATCTCCCCCAACCTCCTGGAGACCCTGTACAACTCCACCGAAGCCGTGCCCCAGAAGCTCAACGCTGCCGATGCCTCCAACCTTGATATCAAGAAGCGCGAGTACCTCAACAACGAGGCTCTGTTCCGCTTCGACTTCAACGAGGAGGCCATGGCTGTGGAGAAGCTCCGTGAGGGTATCTCCAAGTTCGCTGCTGATGCGGTCACCCTCAAGGAGCTCCTTGCCCAGAAGATTCAGGCTTAGATCTTATTTTAATTGTTTAATTTCTTGTAAATTGGCGATCTCCCAAAAAATTGGAATCGGTAGATACGAATTGATGAATTTGGCCTCAGTGCTATTTTGATATATAATTCTCCGGTGTCGGTGTAGCAGATCAGACGGGGTAAAGGGAACCGCGGAATCTGGCCGGGCCGGCTTATTCAGGCCCCCGCACTAGTTTAGCCTTCTACTGCTTTCCAGCTATGGTGTCATTTCTTTCACCCGGAGCAGAGTTATCCTGGCATTTTATATTACCCGAGGTTGTGGCAATGCTAATAGGATGCTTTGGAGCTGTAGATGTGATACAAGTGTACAATAGTATTGCAGACTGCATAACACTTCTAGTATGCAGCTATTGGAGTATGTGGCAGCAATTATTTACACAGCAGTATGCACATTATTAATAATTATGTCATTATTATCCCCCCTCGTTCCGACTTGCTACCCACTTCGGAAGGTGGGGGATGTTTTTCTGTGGTATTAAGTACCGAGTACACGTATACATAGCTCCATTCATACTGCAATACATGTACCCAGTACTTGGTCCATACAAGTGTAGAGTCACGTCAACATCATTCGCCTTATTATCTCCCTCCGCCCACTTCCTCTCCTCTTCTTCACAATCCTCATTCTCATTCTTCAATCTTCAATTTAAAACATTTTAAGATAATCAAAATGGTCAAGGCTGGTAAGTAATGTCCATTATTGGTTCTCTCTGGGCCATACATAAGCTCTCCTCAGCCTCCAAGTTCCCCACGATCGGTGGCAAGGACCTTGGGTGTGAGCAGATTTGAGCACCTTGTGATCCAGATCGCAAATCCGGGCCTATCGGCTTGCATCCTCGCTCTAGCTCTCCACTGCTGTCTGGGTATCTGCCAATACCTCTGGGACAATCCGGGGATCATCGCTGCTTATTTGCTAGAAGCATGGCATCCTGATCCTGGGTGCGGCACGAGCCGTTGCTGAGGCTGGGACCAGACAGAGGCTCTGGAGATCTAGTAGCCGGCATGCCGGACAGCCTTCGATAAGCCTTCTAGAACAGTTCATTGACCTCTTTCCTTTCCGTGCAGTTGCTGTTCTCCGTGGTGACGCTAAGGTCGGCGGCACCGTCACCTTCGAGCAGGCTAGCGAGAGTGCCCCTACCACCGTCTCCTGGAACATCACCGGCCACGACGCCAACGCCGAGCGTGCTTTCCACGTTCACCAGTTCGGTGACAACACCAACGGCTGCACCTCCGCTGGTCCCCACTGTATGTCATTGATCTGCCAAGTATGAGGAGGAAAGATGGGATGCTGATCGCTTCTAGTCAACCCCTTCGGCAAGAACCACGGTGCTCCCACTGACACCGACCGTCACGTCGGTGACCTTGGCAACTTCAAGACCGATGCTGAGGGTAACGCCAACGGCTCCAAGCAGGACAGCCTCGTCAAGCTGATTGGTGCCGAGTCCGTTCTGGGCGTGAGTTTATAATTGATCTAGTGTTGTCGAGGCAGATTCTAACCTAATTGTTTAGCGCACTCTCGTCGTCCACGCCGGTACCGATGACCTCGGCAAGGGTGGTAACGAGGAGTCCAAGAAGACTGGTAACGCCGGTCCCCGCCCTGCTTGCGGTAAGTTCATGAAGGCGTGCTGAGGTGGAGATGAATGCTAATAATCTGTTTTAGGTGTCATTGGTATTGCCGCATAAATGCAGCTCTATCCACTTTTGAACCCTGGATTTTGATATCCCCGTAATTGGTGGATGGAAAATGCAGGATACTCCGTCTAGGATACA